TTTGCTAACTTATAGCTTAACTTAAAGCTTTAGCTTTTGTACTTTAAGTACTTACCTACTCAATTAATGCTTGAAATAAATGCAATCCAAATGGAATATTAGAGCCTGGAGAGGAGTGTGATAATTGGGTTTCAGGATCTAATCAAAATCAAGGGTAATATTCACCTCTTACCTTTAAGTATTATAGCTGCGATAATGAATGCGGAATAATAGATGGATTTTTCTGCAAAAATATTATGGGTTAACAATCAAAATGCTCTATCTTCTGTGATAAATAGAGTTCTTCAAAATGTTTGGACGGAAATAATCAATCTTAAGACGGGTAATGCATTTATAGGAAAAGGCATGACAGTATGTCCTGATGGATCTAGCCCACCTTGCCAATGGGTGAGAAAAACTGTTTCATCCTGTTCAAGTGTAGAATAAACTTCAAATGGATAGAGAGATCTTTAGACCAAAGGATCTAATGCTCTACTTAGAATAAAAACAAACTCTTTACCTAACCATTGTTTTAGTTCAGTTACTCCTCCAAAGTAGAATGAAATTGACTTTTAGGTTTAATTTAAGAATAAAAACTCGCTTACAAGAATGCTTCTAGATGATTCAGAAAACGATTAATATAATCAATTCAACGGGAATAGTCAATTTAGTGTAAATATGGCACTTTGTGATGATTTATGGACATAGTCTGGATATATATTATAAATGAATCCAAGCTATGTAGAATATTCAGGTAATTATGATGGTATTGTTGGAATTGCTCTTAATGGAATTCCAATTCACACTGGTAATTCAGAATACGGCTCTGATGTATTCTATCCTAAGCAATTCGGAAGTAAAGTTTATTCCCACAAATTAATTAAGCTTGACTCTTGTCTTGGAAGTGCTGAATTTTCTGGATATTATCGCTATTATGCCTGGTCACCTTGTATCCTTCCATCTGGACCTATTAAGAGCAGAGATGTGCAGGAATGCAATAATATACCAAAATGTTAATAAGATAAGCTAGCTTATTCACTATCCTTCATGGCTCATCAAGAAAAAACTATTATGGTAATTTGAATAGCAAGAGATGGCCATTCAATTTTAGGCCCCTACAAAAGAGATGGAACTTTATGGTAACCCTGTGATATTGATCTCTGCAATGGAGTTGAAATAGCAGGAATTTATTATTATGTAACTACAATGTTCCACCCTTACACAGTGGGATGTTGGGGACCTGGACCTAAGAAAACTATTTCCGAAGAATGCTCCAATAATGTGAAGGTGTGTTCAAGTGGTTCATTTTTAAAATCATGGATGGAATTGATTTTATTTGTTTCCATTTTAGTTTACACCATATTAAACTGAAACAGACTTACTTGAATTAATATTAATTTCATAAACCGACAAAAATACAAATATTTCATCATGGGGTTTTGGGGTTTTGGGG